AGAGGGTCCTGGACAGAGCTGGAGAAAAATGTAGAACAAAATTCTAACACAAAAAAAGACCAGACTTACTGGCCTGACAGAGACTGGAGAAACCCCGAGAGTATGGCCCCCGGACACCCTTTTAGCTCAGTAATGAAGTCACTCCCGAGGTTCACCCTTCAGCCAAAGATTAGACAGCCCTATAAAACAAAACAAGTCTAATGGGGCACAACAGTCCAGGGACAAGGACTAGAAGGCAGGAGGGGACAGGAAAGCTGGTAATAGGGAACCCAAGGTTAAGAAGGAAGAATATTGACATGTCGTGGGGTTGTAAACCATTGTCATAAAGCAATATGTGTACTAAGTGTTTAATGAGAAACTATTGGTTCTGTAAACCTTCATCTAAAGTACAATAAAAATAGAAATAAAACAGCCAAAGGGGAGAAAAAATTTTTTTAGTTAAATGCATACAATGGTTCATAATAACGAACGTGCACACAGCTTCGTGACACTCATGAAAACACTGCACGGTTTGGAAGTGTCAAGTGTTCTATATGCATAGAAAGGTAAAATATATACTATATACTAAGACAAACATTTGACTAACTGATGCTAAATAAGAACCGCATGGACCTGTTCCGACTTACCTACAAATTCTACTTAAAGACAGACTTAGGAACGGATCTCACTGTAACCTGGGGACTGCCTGTATATGAAATTCAAATTTAGAAACTTCCAGTAAGTTCACTTTGGGCCTTGGCACAATTCTTCAGTCTGTGTGCATGCTCCGTGAATGTTTCCTTAATAAACATCTATAGGCTTCAATTCATAAAAGTTCTATTTGATCAATTTTCGGGAAAATCAGCATGGCATAAAGCAAAATATTTATTGTACCCACAGCTTCACCACTCTGGTCTCAGAAAATTGCTGCTATCCCCAAAACAGAGACACAGCTGAGCTGCCTCTAAAGAGAGAAGGGCCTATGTTCTACTCCTGACTCTGGTTTCCCCATAAAATTTATCTGGCCCTGGTGACAGCTCAGAAACACACATACTCTGTGTTGTTGAGAAAACTAAGAGATCATTCATCTGCTCATTTCCCCAAGCCCAGATATACTGAATGGTGCCTTTATTGCAAACCTTCCAAGTTAGCCAGGGTACAAAGTCCTCCCAAGAAGTCCCCCTAGAGCTTTTCCTTCTTCACAGAAGGGGGCTGAGGAGATGACTGGGGTTGGGAGGTGTGCAGAAACCACCAGTTTAACCAGTAAGCCTCTCAATCCTAGCTTTGGCTTGGAGATTGGTTCAGACTTAAACAGGGCTTTTTCTGTACTTAACACACCTTTAATACTTTCTTTCAATTCTTTGTCCACTTTGACCTTTGTCCCCACACCAGAGTGTCTCGATTCTTTTAACTGGTGAGCTATCATGAATTTAAGGCATTGAGGACTTTTGTACAATGATATTCCAACATGCTATATATAACAGGGAGACAATAAGTAACTGGGGAGGGAAATACTCCCTCATATTCAAAGGGCGCTTTATACATTCCGAGATACATGTTATGCTGTACCTGGCATCTGACTGGATGTATCCAGCACCCTCTACATGCCAAAATCTCTGGACAAATTCAACAAAGTTCAAATGATTCTCTTGGGAGTATCTGTAGGTTCTGACAAACCTTATGAAGGCAGTATGTCAAATACTGAGGCCAGCAGTTCTTGAGTGATTACAGAAAACTGCTCAATCTGTTTTGAATTGTCACTTTCAAACACCCCAAAAAAATTCTGCCTAAAAATGTCATTGAATGGAAAAAAAAATTCATATTTGTTGAAGATGGACGACGGGCTATGTAGTTTGTTATACTACTGTTTGAATTTTCTGCAATCAAGTTATGAACTGATTTTTCAGTAGACTGCTAGGCCTTTCTTCCGAGGCACCTCTGGGTGGACTTGAACTGCCAACATTTCAGCTAGCATCCAAGAACATTAACCATCTGCACCACCCAGAGACTCAACTCCTGTGATTAGATTATCATGGCAGTTGACTTCAAGAAAGGAAAATTATCTTTGGTGGCCTGACCTAATCAAGTGAACCTTAAAAGAGTCAGGGGCTCTTCCTGGAAAAGATTCCAAGTTATATCCCTGAGAGGAATACAGCTTAGGAAGCTTTTCTATTCCTGGCTCTAGAGATGGAGGAGACCACACAGCAAGGAATACAGGTGGCCTCTAGGAGCTGAGAGTGGCCCTCTGCTAACCAGCAAGAAAATGAGGACCTTCATCTGACAACAGAAAGGAACTAAATTCTGCCACAATCATGTGAGCCTGAAAGAGGACCCTGAGCTCCACGAGAAAGCAGTTGGTTGATACCCTGCTATCAGCATGGTGAGAACTGAGCAGAGAACCCAGCCACACCATGACATACAGAAATGTGAAATAAATGAGGGTTGTTTTAAGCTGCTAAATTTGTGGTAATTTGTTATGCAGCAATAAAACCCATACCGTTGCCATCTAGTCAATTCCGACTCACAATATAAAAGTAATAATCTATAATACACACATACAGCAAGAGGCCAAAGAACAAATCAAAACAAAATGTCGAGTTTCCTTTATTTGCATTTTTATTAATAAAGACAACAGAAGAAGGATGAGGTTTCAATATTTTATTCAAGTTTGAAGTGATGTTAATTACAGCATTTGAAGGGGAGGATCTAATTCCACACAAAAATGGAAGACTCTAAAATGTACCCATTGAACTGCTGAAAAATAAATTGAGTGGTGAATACAACACAAGTCCATTTTAGATTCTGAGTGTTGTCGCCATGTAATTACAGTCACACAGACCCTTCCCAGCTTGCAGCTGGAGCTGTTGGAAGCTATTTCATACTCTGGTGCAAGGGCACAAAACCACATCATGAGAGGGATTTAAAGTCCTGAATTATTGGCTTCATCACATCCACCCTCTCCACCCCAAAATGGCACAAAAAAAAAAAAGCTACCATACCCAGCAGACTACTTTTGGTGTAAAAGAGGTGATGGACTGGGGTGGAAACAGGTCATGAACATCTGTCTAAAAAAAGTCCCTTTCAGATGAGTTTGTACACACCATCAAGCAATGAGCTTCTCCTCTGTTAGGTTTAGGAAAGCAAGGTTCAATTCTCAGGAAGTCACAATTTCATTCATTTACTCAATATGAATTTACAAAGTGCCTACACATTATCAGCTTCCACGCGTAGCCATTTCTAGATAAAAAAGAAACCTCACATCTCTAGAGGGGCGAGCAAGCTCCCTCAAAGTCTACAGCTGAAAGGATCTTTTTGGAATTGGGTTTCTTCTGTACCTCTGAAAGGGTAACACTTTAAAGCTGAATCATCTTTAACCTGGAGATCTAACATGATATTTAGCGATACTTGCATCCCAGACATACAACATTAAAAGGTACACTAAAATTCTGAAGGTAGCTATGCTGCAAAATAGTTTAAATGATTGTACAGTATTCATTTATGCTTGAAATTCCAGTCCTAGACCAAGCTTGTGGCCACCGGCGTTGACATTCTTGCCATCCAGCAGAGCT